TTCTCCGCTGTGTCTGCATAATTTCAAGTCCATCATATCAGTTTGGAGTCCTAGTTCAGAGACCCTGGCCACTGGTACGAGGCACTAGAGTCCTGTCCAATTGGCAATGATTGGAGCACAGGATTAAAAAAGCTAATGGGTGTTACTGTGTTTGTACATGTACATGCTATATGACAGCAGGAGCAGATCGCTTGTACCAGTAAATGAACAAGTTCCAGTACACAGGATGATTCAACGGCGCCCTCCTACAAAGTATGCACCAGCATATCAGGCTTTTCTTCAGAGAGTGTATTGAGTAATATGTAAAATGTCCAACAGGCAAATTTGCATATAACTCGTACACTGTACATAGTATTAAGTATCAGCCCTGCCATACCACAAAATTCATACATGTAGCTCATCTGTCCTTAAACACATACTAATGTACATGCATGTTTTGCAAATTTTCCAGTGTACTGCACACTGTGTGGTACATGTACATGTACATGTACAGCACATGTATCCACATGCTCATGCACTGAACGTGTATTCGGCCCAGGGGCCAATTTCATAGCACAAAATCTGCTTTTAAAAGCGCGAAAAAACCTTGCTTAATAAACAAAGGTTACCAGCTGAAGCTGAATGTGATTGTCATGCTAACCAAAAGACAGCTAAATACCATTCCAAAACAATGTACATGTACATCACATGGAGTTTTGGCTGGTTACATGATTTATCAAGCAAGGTTTTTATTCGCTTACATGTAAGCAAATTTCGTGCTTTTAAAAGCAGCTCTGTGAAATTGGGCCCAGGCTATACGTACATGTATATACTGTACATTGTCGTACAAATCTTTTTTCTCTCCTCAGAAACCAGCTTTGCAGACTTAAAACTGTACCGTTGGTAGTCTGGTACTCATAAGTATGTACATACATGTACATGTACTGGTATTTAGTACTAGTACATGTATATGTACAGGTGTGGTACCATAGATGATAATTTCCCTCAGCACTGGCCAAACCTAGCATTTGATATGGTTCATGTACACATGTACCTGTGTGCACTGGTTCCAGGGTTCAGCATTCAAAGTTAAGCAAACAATTAATACAGATCCAATCAAGCATGGAGTTCTGTAAGCACGTCACAAGGTACATGTACATGTACGTGTATGTATTGATACATGTACCCGTGTACAGCCTACAGTGTATGAAGTAAGGTTACCGGTGTGCATGTACCCGTAGGTGGGTTTTTTGGTAGATTACCCATGTTTGCGATTCACTGTGGGAAGGACAGGGTGTTTTTAATAATAGGCATTGTATGTATTTTCTGGTGTTGCACAGGATACATGTATAGTCCTTGTAAATTGCCCTAATATGGGCCATTCTAAAAGTGTTTTGGGCATTTTTGTGTCCCTGTTATACTTGACTTGTGTCATTTGATATCATTGAAATTACATGTACCGGTGACTTTTGTTTGGCTGATACCAGTCATTTGCTGTTACTTCATTCCTGGAAGTTAACCTAACCAGACCTCTCAAGGATTGCTGGCCCTAACCTTCCCCATTCACCATGTTCACACAAAGTTAAACACGCACAGAGGCTGTTGGACTTTNCTCTCCGCTGTGTCTGCATAATTTCAAGTCCATCATATCAGTTTGGAGTCC